TCATTCTGACTCAGCATTCTGACGCAACTCCCCAAAACTAACTCTGCCTTTCCCCTATAAGCAGGATGCCTCAAACTGGACATTCATTTGACACCAGTGTCAAAAGACTAGCTTAGCTAGGAAGCCATAGAATGGCACAAGGTTTAGCTAGGAGCTAGGAGGAGCCATGAGAATGGCGAGAGGTTTTAGGTGCTAGGAAAGTTGAGGAGAGAAAAGAGGTTGGGAATAGAAGAGAGAGGGATACAAGGAGAGGTGTTGTACCTTCTATCGTAAAGTTCAGTAAGCTACCAAGCCTAACAATTATATAACACAATATATAATTTTAACACACCCCTTAGGCTTGGTAGTCACATGCCCACACACACCCACACCCCCTAACCTAGCACCCCCATTCCAGCCACAGTGACAGCGACACTAGGTCAGTCGACTCCACGGCGCGTGAGGCGGCGACGTCGACCGCAGGGGCTGCGGCGGCGACGGCGGCAGCGGCGGCAGTGTCGACAGCGGCGGCGGCGGCGGCGTGCGGCTGCGTGGCCCCGACGCAAGCGGCGACAGTGGCGGCGGCGGCGGCTTCGACAACAGTGGCGGCGGCGGCGGCACCCGCACCTCTCGGTGACGTGGCCAGGCCCCGCAACGGTGGAACGGCCGGCGGGAGTCAGCCGTCGTCTGCGGAAAGGAAGAGGACACAGGGGAAGGAGGGGGGGTGGGGAGGGAGCGCCACACGCTGACATGCGGGCGGCCGGTCTAGCGGCGCCACAGGCGTCGCGCGGCCGGCTGCAGCCCGACGACGCCGTCATGGAGCGGCGCCGATGCCGCAGCGGGACGTCGACGCTGCGACGACAGCACGACGTCGCCGTTACGCCGACCGCGCGCTGTCGCGTAGACGCCGCGGCAGCGTGACGGCGCCGTCACATCGCCACAGCAGCTTGACGCGACGGCGGAGCAGCGGCACGACGGCGCGGCCACAACAGCAGGATGCGGGCGCCATGGACGTCGACGGCGACGCCGCGACACGATGTCGCGGCCACAGCAGCTTGACGCGGCCGCCATGCAGCGCGAGATAGAGAGAGAAACGAGCACGCAGCGGAAACTCGAGGAGCAGGCCCACAAGGAACGAACTGCTCTGATACCATGTCAAAAGACTAGCTTACCTAGGAAGCCATAGAATGGCTCAAGGTTTAGCTAGGAGCTAGGAGGAGCCATGAGAATGGCAAGAGGTTTTAGGTGCTAGGAAGTTGAGGAGAGAAAAGAGGTTGGGAAAAGAAGAGAGGGATATAAGGCGGGGTGTTGTACCCTCTACAGTAAAGTTCAGTAAGCTACCAAGCCTAACAATTATATAACACAATATATAAATTTTAACAACCAGCTCATTGCATGTGGTCGTGGGATGTAAGTATGTAACAGAAACTGAGAAGAGTATGATAGATGGAGTGAACACACAGATATATCTAAGTGTTGTACTCTCTAAGAGACGACCCTATACAGTCTATACAAACATGACAAATACACATGTTTGACACACCCCCTAGACTGCATAGGGGAATGCTCTAAACAAACAGCTCAGGGCGGCACTACTAGTCCAACCGCTGAGACAAGGGTCTGAGAGACCAGTCAGAAGGAGTACAAACAAGGCAAGAACAAGAGCAGGGCGCCACTACTAGTCCAGCCACTGGGAGAGGACACAAGTCCAGTCTGAGTATACGTATAAAGGACAGTACAAAGTCAAGGTCCTATAAAGTGAGAGGCTACAGGAACTAGACCAAGCTGTACACAGTGCCGCTGATGACTTTAGGCGCAAGCGCCTTCGTAAAGATATCAGCCGTATTGGCACCTGAGGCCAAGTGTACTACGCGAGCCTGTCGTCGCTGCTGTAGCTCACGCAGGAGGAAGTACCGCAGCTGAATGTGCTTTGCTCTGCCCTCGAGTCGAGGCTCCTGACACAGGAGGATCATGGCCCTGTTGTCAGCGAACAGGACCGGGGCAGAGCTAGGCCGCTCACCTAAGTCGGTGAGCAAGAAGGTCAGCCAGCGGAGCTCCTGTGCCGCCATGGCACCAGCGTAGATCTCAGCCTCACAGCTGGACTGCGCAACAGACGAGGAGCGGGTAGCTCTCCACGAGACGGCACCTGAGCCAAGGCTGAAGCAGTAGCCCTGGGTAGACCTGAGTGTCTCAGCGTCGACTGCCCACGAAGCGTCTGTGTGTCCAGTAAGGACCATTGGCCTGCGTCCTCCTAGCACTAACCCCATGCCCGATGTACTAGCAAGATAACGCAGAACCCTCTTAGCGGCAGACCAGTGCTGCGGTCGGTGCCTGCCTGTGGCCACAAAGCGAGCCAGGATGCTGAGAGGGTATGCGAGATCTGGGCGAGTGCAAGTCATCAAGTACATGAGGCAACCCACCAGCTCTGCGTAGGGGCCGCTGGGCTCTACCGACTCCTCAGACACTAGAGCGGAGAGTCTGTGGTCTACAGGCAGAAGGGTGGGCTGTGCAGAGGAGAACTGAAGGCTGAACCTCTGAAGGACCTGGCGCACCAAGTGTGACTGAGTCAGGGTGATGGTGCGCGCTGCTCTGTCCCTGGAGATCTGCAAGCCAAGGTAACGGCGCAGTTCTCCAAGGTCAGTGCACGTGTGTCTCTTCAGCAGCTCTGCCTTCACGGAGGCCAGTGCGTCCCTGTCAGCTGTGGCAAAGACCAGGTCGTCGATGTAAACAAGGATGTAGAACTGAGTCTGGCCAGCACGAACGAAGAGTGAAGGGTCTGCGGAAGATGGAAAGAACTGCAGGTCAGCAAGCGTAGCACGGAGAGTGTCGTGCCACTCACGGGGAGCCTGGCGCAGGCCGTAGACGGGGCGCCGCCACTGGGTCCTAGGAGGGAAGGTGCCAGTGAAGCCCTGAGGGCGCCGCAGGTAGACCTGCTCGTGTAGGCTGCCCTGAAGGAAGGTAGTGGAGAAGTCGAGGGAGTGAAGCTCGTAGTCACGCTGAGCAGCTAGGTGTAACAGAACCCGAAGAGTAGTCATCTTTTGGGTCGGAGCGAAGGTCTGGAAGAAGTCCACCCCCTCGTGCTGACTGAAGCCTCTAGCCACATAGTGCGCCTTGAAGACAGGCGGCTTCTCCAGGAGGGCGCTTCACCTTGAAGAGCCAGCGGCCATCGACTACGTTCACCCCAGGTGGGGGAACTGCGTCGACGAAGGTGCTGGTGGATCTCCAAGATGCCATCTCCTGCTCCATGGCAGCTATCCACTGCGAGGCCCAGGGTCCCGAAGTCGCCTCAGCGTAAGTGCGAGGGGTCGGGATGTCGAAAGCGTCTGGGTCACCCTCAGGGACTAGCAGCATGGAACAGAGATGGGGAGCAGCCTCGGAGAGGAAAGCAAGCTCGAACTGGCGGTCCTCCAGGACGTCACTGCCAAGGGCAGGAGCACCCCCGACAGACGGAGGACAGGCAGGGTCAGAGACCAGAGCGGTGGCGTAGTCAAGGCGGCGGGTAGAGGCGAAGTCAGCGACAGCAGCGACAAGAGCGTCAAGGCACGAGGTCGGAACAGACGGGTCGGTAACGAGAGAGGCAAGGACCCAAGGAACAAGGGGACGAGCGGCACGAAGGTAGTCAGACAGCGGGGGGGGTGCAACAACAAGAGAGGACGGAGGAGGCGACGGCAGAAGGGGAGGACAAGACGCATGGGAACGAAGCAACATAGGGTGGGAGCGCAAGACAGGCGAGGCAGGACGAGCGCGGGAGGGACGGTGGGACCAGACGTGCGACGGAGGAGTCGGGTCAGGAGACAGAGGAGGGGACACAGGAGGGGAACGAGGGGGAGACGGGCCGGGGACGAGTCCGGCGGAGGGAAGACAGGGCCGTAGACAGGAAGAGGAGGAGACGGCCGGGGAGGAACCGACGCAGGGTCGGGGGACGGAAGGCCGAGCAGGCGAAGGGCTGACACCGGCGGGGACTGCTGCTGCGGCGGCACAACGGCGACACCGGGACCGCAAGCTGCTCCTCGGCTACCACCGGCACTCTCCACACCAGCACCCCCAGAGGGACCACCCCCAGAGCTACCGGGACGAGCACCCCCAGAGTCAGCGAACGGGTGCTGCGACGGCGGCGGCGGCGGCGGCGGCAGCGACAACGACGGCTGCAGTGGCGGCAGAGGCGGTGGAGGGGGGGACTGGGGAGGGGACGCTGGGGGAGGGGCGGCCGGCGAGGACTGAACAGGAGGGCCAAAGGTATCTGAGCCAAAGGTCTTGGGTTCAACTCCCAGTGCCAGCGCTGCAGAGGCGCTCGTGTCTTCCACCTATCCTTGCGGGGGGGGGGGGTGTTGAGTGACCCGCTGGGGGTTGCCCTTGAGATCCTCGGGGAAGGGCTACAGGTGCAGAGCCTTGGGGGCTATGGGCGCACTTACCCGCTATTCAACAAGCCCTTTTAACCCAGTGGTTAGTGACTGGGTTTCTGACAGTATGGTACCTCTCACATATGCTCGCGAGGTTTGCAAGTGGACGTGTCCCACACGGCCACAGCAGAGGACAGGGCAATCTATTCTGGCAGAGGTGTTAGCGCATGTGGGAATCCTTGTGGTTTTACTGTTAGGCGTGCGTGGCTGGCAGCATGTTTGTAAATGTGCTCGGAGTGTAGCGGAAAACATCTGAAGTTGCTTGCTCAGCAAAAAGCCTTTTGTGGGTTGTGGGAAAATTTTTTAGGGTAGTTCTGGCAGGTGGCTGCCTCACAACAGACCATACACAAAAGAGCACGTGAGCTAGTATAGGCTGGAGCTCACGAGCTCCCCACGCCAGTCGTGGCTCGAGGGTGTTCTCGGAGTCCAATCCGACCCTAACCCGTTGGCTATAAAGAATGGAATAATTGCAGTGAGTTACGCTGGCACTCTTCCAGAGCAGGCGGGGTTGTCATGCAGCACCTTCATCTGCACATCGGGCTTGCAGAGGCCGGCGCAGGTGGGCATGTCCCACACCGCCACAGCAGTGGGCGTGCAGTTATTCTGGCAGAGCGGCCAGCTCATTTCATGAGACACGTCGAATGCCAGCATCCATGCTCCTACAGTCACATCCTCGTTGAGGAACATGCGCAGCCTGCGATGGGACAAAAGAGAGCGCAGAAAGGAGCAGTTTAGAGGCACCTCAATAGTGCAGTCAGTGTCACATGCAAGGTCTAACCTGCCCTTGGAAATAGGGTTGAGAGACTATTAACCACATATTAGGCTGCATGCATGCCCCCCCCTCTACAACTCACCTGCCCTTGGGAGGTCCACTACCATGGCACCACAAGCTCACCTGCCCTTGGAGGTCCACTA